GAAATAATGTCCTCCTAGATAAATGTCCTTAGTCGAAATATCCATGGGATATTGTCCTGAACGGTATGATCCTGTTAAAAAATGTCCCTAGGATAAAAATGTCCTTTCGTTGAAATATGCCCAATAGGTGGTGAGAATATTAATCTTCTAATTAAATTTATTATATCGCATTGAATTTTACTTTATTTCGCATGTGCAACAAAAAAAGAAAGTCGGCGTAATAAATCATGGACTGTAATTTGGTTATTGTGGAATCGATCATATAATTCTTTCATTCGTTGTTCAACAATTCTGGACTTGGGCCGTTTTGTACGAGGTCGCATTCCACTATTTATTTGGATAATAATATCATGGACAGTATCCACTTCTTTTCGAATTGAATCAATAAATGCCCATATATTGGGATGGCTGTTATGTATCCGCCGTTTAAACCTATGGTTGTATCCTAAAAATACCGAGCCTTATGTATAACTTCCTACTAACGTACTGTCTTCAAATACCTTCACTAAAATTGTTGGTTTTGTCTAGAACTTCACAGACATTCCACATTGATATTTGTCTCATCCACTGATCGTTGAAATATTTAAATAAATTCGCTAATTCTTCACGTACATCATCATTTAATTCTTCACCGAGATCGACGAATAAGGATTGGACATATTGTTCAGGCACCAAGGCTAAAGCCATCATTTGACGAATAACACAACGTATCATAAGATTATCTAAATACATTGATGATAAACCGAGAGATTGAACACGCCGGTAGATGCTTTGCAAAAAATGAAAGAAACATCCTTTTTGAATGGTTCTGCCTGTAAACTGTAAAATAAAAGATAAAATAATTTTGTCAGTAAGTTACAATGGTGTGAAGATTAGACTACCTCGAGAGAAATTGCTTTTGCAATGCCTGGTTCAAAATCGGTCATTATCAGTGAAGGATCAAACTTTTTGTTCAATCGTTTTGCTTCGGCAAATAGGACATTAAATAAATGAACGTATGTAATTGCTTTGCGATCAGGCAGCAGCGCATACACAACCGGAATGCCTTGTGTTAATTAAAAAAATACATTAGATTGAAAAGGATTCGAACTTTCAAACGGTTTATTGTGTAAAACAGCTTACATGTTTCATGGAGAAAAGCCTGAATGATGAACACCTGATCGAACATTGATGGTGCTGTACTGAAAGTGCCATCCATGTGCAATCGGCAACAAAATTGGATATAGAAGATGATGTATCATCCATGTTCGTCATGTCTTTTGATTCTATTTGAAATAAATCATAGTCAGAACCGATCGTCGTATTTCTTTTCTTCGTATCTTTTTTTTCTTTTCATCGTATTTCTTTTTTCTTACAACAAAAAGCTGTATCACAGCGTGTCCTAGATTTGAATACGTAATACATGCGAAACGACAATTGCCGTAAAGGACATTTTTACACGAATCGGTATTGATGTAAGAGGAAGAGTCGAGATTCGGTAATGTAGTACAATGAGATGTTGTCTTACCCATATTCTTGTAAAGCAATGAAAACTGTACAAACTAGTTCGCTAATAGGAAATAGAGGCTAGTTCTTCTAGGAAAAATGGGTCATTTATGAAAAAAAATC